TATATATATATATATATATATATATATTCCATGGCCCTTCATATGGATACTTCAGTTTCATCGCAACTTTAAAAATATCCATATGCTACTGGAAGATTAAAAAAACAGCTTAAACCAGCCTAAGCAGGTCTGGTTTGAACTAGCTTGTCAACCAGCTAAACCACATGCTTAGTCAGGCTAGACAAACATTTTAAACCAGTAAATGCTAGTTTAGGCTGCCTTAAAAAAAATTAAAAAAATAGGCAGAGGACTGGTGTTTAGTTTGTTTCCAGATCTTATTAGAATCTCCATCAATCAATCCATCTGCTACGACAGGTAGGTAAGCAATGTTTGGCTAATTTGTTAAAGCTAATCATCTATTTAATTAGTGACAGGTAAACAGGACAAGCAACCAGATACTAATTACCTGTTCACAGATGCATAGTGATATGGCTGTATTACATTAGAGTCAAATGGCTCTACAGAATTAACTAGAGTTTTATATTTTCAAAAAAAAAAAATATGAGTGGTAGCCTACTTGCCTAGACAAAAGTCACTTCAATGATGCCAGAATGTTGCTTGTAGGGCCGTATGACGAAATCCATGAAATGTACTGTATCAAGCGTAATGTCATATAATTTGATGAAAGTTTTATGAATAAATCAAAAGTAAGGCATACACACTTAATTAGATTGTGATATGGACTAAACTGCAAAAGACGGCTGTTTAAATATCTACTACATACTGAAGCACGGAAACATAAACTCAAAGGTCTTCACTACAACCCGCCAAAATAAAAGTTCAGTTTAACTTTGGGAAATTATGACAGAAATATCATATTGTGCTGTAGAATGTTGTCAATTTTGCAACAACAAAAGTTTAACAACAACGTTTATTAAAAATAAAGAAATATCACACAATGTCCACATTTTTCATGCTTTAATTTAAACCTTAGTTGTGCAGCACGTTTTTTGCCAAAAAGTGAAAGGAATTGTTCAAATTAAATGTAAAAATTAAGTCTTAAATTGAGAAAAATAAATCTTAATTAATATGAAACATTTAAAGTGGATAAAGTTTCTTAAAATGTTCTTATCACTAAAAATAGTTATTTTAAGAACTGTTTCAGAATAAAGATATGTTATAACTGCTTTTTTAAATTAAGTCCAGTGTGGCGTTTCTAATGCTGCCCTTTCCTAAAATGAAGAAATTTCATAACTAGGATTTAAACACTTGTTTAGTACTCAAATGATACCACTGACATTTTTAAAGACTTGCATCAAGTAAAGATCATAGTGTGACTTGTGGTAAAAAAAAAAAAAAAAAAAAGGAATACGGGCTTGACTCCCGTTGCACGTTCATACAGACAGTATTCAAGACGCTACTGTAAGCTACTGTGTGAACGGGACACTTCGAGACTCACACCTGTATGTAAATGCGGTTGTCAATCCCAAAAACTGACAGTGTGAACGTGGCCTTATATTACATCTTGTAAAAAGTGGCATAATTGGTGCCCTTTAAGGACAATGGAACCGGAGGTGCTAAAATGCAACTCGTTTACGGATTTCGGCCTACAAACATACCTCGTCCCTGCAGCACTCTATATGTTATATATTAACATAATTTTCCAGCTTAATGAATTGCGCTGAATTCCAGTTGGTGATTTCAGGTAAATCATGTACGCTCCGGCAGCCGATACGGGAGTGACGGTGGTGGAGAAGGATGCTGCTCTGAGCAGTGCGTACTCACCTGTGGACTACATGAGCATCACCAGCTTCCCTAGACTACCAGAAGATGATGTTTCAGCCGACAACACTCTCAAATCACGCAGAGATGATGATAACTTCCTCAGTGAGCAGGACACAGGTAAAGCGTTTGATCATAGTGCTGTCTGACGTAGTCTCCACGCAGTGGCCTAAATTCTGTCCCGTCTCTGTGTGTAGACCCTGATCTGTTCCTGAAGTCGGCCCGACTGCAGCGGCTGCCCTCCTCTGCCTCGGCCAGTCGGGATGTCTCTCCACTGAGAGAGACCAGCAGAGACCCGCTGGCACAGGATTGTGCCTGCACACGTGACGGGCTGACCGTCATCATCACCGCCTGCCTGACCTTCGCCACGGGGGTCACCGTGGCCCTCATAATGCAGATCTATTTTGGAGACCCGCAGGTGCTGTGAAGTACTACAAAATTTCGACTTGTGCGAAAAAGGGTTAATGCAAATAATGGGAGATGGAAACACATTTTGCAAATAAATTCCTCCATGCGCAACAAAAAAAATCATGTGACTTTGCGTGATGGGATGGATCTCATTGCACAGCATCTGAAACGTTATGGTCATTCCGAACAAAGTCTGTCGTCAAAAGTATTTCTGTAGAATTGCCTCCCAGAACTACGACTGCTTTCCCAAACAGCAGCATCCACCTCCGAAATCAATGACGGCATTTATTGCGTTTCATTTGCTCGCTCTCAGGCGCAAGTAGTTTTTATATTACATTACATTACATTTATATTAAAGTAGTTATTATATTACAAATATAGAAAAAAACTTTTCTTAGTGATATTTAGTGGCAGTTTATCAGAAAGTGACGATTTTGTTCTCTTTGACTCGTTGGATGGAAACTGGTTATTCACAAATGTTTTATTTCAATAAGTTAGCAGCTTTGGAAGAAAACCTGGCTATTGAATACTACTTACGCATTTTGGAGGGTGGAAGATAAAATAGGTGAAAATAAGGGAAAAATTCCAATAGATTTTTTTGATAGATATTTTTTCCCAATAGGACTATAACCATCCCAGCTATTCAAAACTGGGATTGCTATACCAGAAAAAAAGGGGGGACCAGTATCTTTGCAAAGGGTCTAATTGGTTATTGGGTGTAAGTTCTGCAGTAAACGCAAAAAGGCCCAAAACAGTCTAAATTCCTTTTCCAAATGTGTATTAAACCATTTTCACTCCATAGTTACAAGCAACAATTTATAAAGCACCAACAAACAATCTCATACAGGGCTGACGAAAAGAATAAAAATAAGCAATGAAACAACATCCAGTGGAAATGTGCAAAGGCTTGAATGTGAAATGTCCCATAATCTGTAGATTAGCCAAACCAGTACAGGTCAATGGTTGTAGTTCATGAATAAATCAACTGTCTTATCTGATGATTAGATGATTTCTGTATTTGTAGAAGTCCTTGAAGTAGGGGGCCAGGAACACTTTGGGTATAATCCTTGAGCAGTTGCAATAATGCACTCAAAAGAACTCCACAGTTGTGCATCCACACAGCAACATGGTTGTAAACATGCTAGCCTCAGCATGCATTGCGACAATTAATCACAAGAAGAGGCAAAACAAGAAAATCCTCTAGAAAAGAGAACAACCAGTCAGAGTCCATAAACCAAACAAACATGGTATACAAATCATTGCAAAATAACCTTCATAAGCTTTCACCAAGATCCTACAAAATACAACAATGGGTGACATAAAACATCAAACTTACGGTTGAGCAGCAAACAAAATGTTTCTCAAACCAGGATTGTTTGTAGCACAGCAAGAAACCATGTGGGGTTCAAACTGAGTCTCTCTCTCACTCTACTGCTTCCTTCCTTTATACAGAAATGTTATAGCTACTAGGGCCACCTAAGGGTCCGGAAGAACATAGCACGCCAAGATAATACAAAATGAACCTTGTGACAGGCTATGACTGTTACAATATTGTGATATTTAAAATTTTATTGTTGAATTTCAAAAGAAATAATCATGTTTCAAGGACAAGACATGTGTCTTTTAAGAAATTGTTACAAATTGGCCCATTTTATTACACGTCAAAAAGCCCCTCTTAAAACTTGCAAAATCTCTTAAACATTCTCAAAAATACCATAAATATTTAGCCTCTAAAAATATTAATGTATCTTAAAACTAGACAGAAATGCCTACAATAAATTTTTATTATTTTTTCCAATACATTTTGCTTGTTTCAAGAGGAAGATTTGTTCCAACGCATTCATCATTCACTGAGATACAAGCCTTTTGAAAAGCAGTAGTTGTTTATGGAGAATATAATAATAACCCAAGGAATGAGCTATCATGTCCATGCAGTGGAAATTGAGACCTCCTAGCTTATATGAAGCACATACTGTTCTTGTTACATGTCTTATGAGACTGTGAGCCCATTCCAGAACATAGCCCACGTGCCATGTTTTCAAAGAAACGCCAAGCCCAAATCCTTCACTCCTCTGTTCGTTTTCTACCTTGCTTCAGCAAATGTGCAAAGGCACTATTTCCAGATAGTATTTTCCTCACCCCACCCCCACCCCCCTTCTTCTCTGCAGGAGATATTGAAGTACATTTTGTACACAGGAAGATGATGCCACTTCCAAGTGGACAATACTGAGGACAAATAACTAGCCGTCTAGCTGTATGCCTTTTTTGCAAATCGCTGCAGCCCATGATTGCTCATGTGGAAAGAATCACTTTTTTCTCTTCCTCTAGAGGTTGGTAAACTGGAAAGCACTTTCTGACTTAAGCTGAATTAGATGTAAATTGGTTAAAAGCTTGATTATGAAAAACACTCTAGAGGGAAGCTCAAACTTAATAAAAGGATCGTATTTTACATTGTTTTTCCTAAGTATTATCCCGTGATATATGTCTATTATCTGCACTAACTTGTTAAAGTCCATGACAAATTAACATTGCCTAATGCATTGAACTCTTTGGAACAAAGGACTAATGGACGATATGCATAATAATTAGGTGACACAAAAATCTACACAAGATGCTAGAGAGACCTATCTTGTGTGTATCTAGACATAATGAGTTGTATGGCTCAGTGTTAATAGCATATTGACAGTGTGCTTTCAGCTTTCTGGCTGCATACCTCCCTTTCATCTTTAACGCTTCGGAGTGCCATACAGTAGCACTTGTGTTTACAGGTGTGTTGAAGTCTTGAAGTGAGCCAAGTGAAGGAGCTGTAAAACATCAACCTGGACTATTAGCGTGATGGAATTTAGACAGCTAGAAAAGCATTAGTAGCACAGGAGTTCACAAATATGAGATGACCCAGACTTCAGTATTATGAGGAAAATTAGTTACATTTGAAACTGGAAGCAATTCACCTGTGTTCCCATGAGATCGCACTGTCATCGTGAAAAGCACCCACTGGATAGCATGGCTAATTATAGCTGTCCAGCATCAAAGGTCCACTTTGAAATTAGCATAGACACTCTCAGAAAAAAATATATATAATATATTCAGGTAATAATATTTACCTTTAACCTTAAAACTGACTTGTATGTTCCATAGAGTCACTGGGTCATGTTCACTAATAATTGACTAATTCACACACACATATTTGTTCTTAATCTTGTGGTAATGTTAATGAATTTGGCTTTTTTTAATTAACCAACTTTGCCCGAGGTTAGTCATTTGTATAAACACACCAAAATTATCTCCATACAGGGACTTTACACACAACCTTTCTTTACTCTCAGCAACCTTAAAAAGCTTGTGTCTGATGAAATACATATTTAATAAGGTTAAAAATTTTTTTTAACATTTATAAGGCCACCAAGAGTGATTTTTTTGTTTGTTTGTGTGTGTTTAGTTGTTCCTGTGTTTTAAAAAAAAAAGTAGAATATGAAAGTTGTTGATGAATCATGAATTGTTTGTGAAAATGTTTGTATGCAGATATCATGGATAAATTTGTACTCACGTGTGGTTAGTGTTTAGTTAGTTAGCATAGCCACGTAAGCCTCTGCTGCGAAATGTTGTAACTTTACAGTCGTTCCCATTTAAAATTGACCATGTATTGATGAAAAGCGTCTTTGCTACATGACAGTCACAGTCAACAGTCACTGACGATGTCTGCTATTCTTTAGAAAGCCAGTGAGAAATGTTTTCTGTGAGCATCCAGCTACAGTTTGTATCAGCTCAAGATTGATTGATGCGCATCTCGTCAACAAAGCCTTTGCGTTATAACTGTCCCAGCTATTCAAAACTGGGATTGCTATACCAGAAAAAAAAGGGGGGACCAGTATCTTTGCAAAGGGTCTAATTGGTTATTGGGTGTACTAAATGCACAAAATGCACAAAGTCCCAAAACAGTATAAATATATTTTTCCAAATGTGCATTTTTCACTCAATCAGCAATTTATTTCTTTGCAAAGGGTCTAATTGGTTATTGGGTGTACTTTCTGAGGTAAATGCACAAAGTCCCAAAACAGTATAAATATATTTTTCCAAATGTGCATTTTTCACTCAATATTTACAATCAGCAATTTACAAAGCACAAACAAGGGGCTGACATACAAAAAAAAATAACTAAATAAATAAGTAATGAAACCATGTCCAGTGGAAATGTGCAAAGGCTTGAGTGTGGAATGTCCCATAAGCTGTAGATTAGCCAAACCAGTTCAGGTCAATGGCCGCAGTGCATGGATAAGTCAACGGTCTTATGTGATGATGAGCTGATCTCTGTAGTGTAGAAGTCCTTGAAGTAGGAGGCTGGGAACGCTTTGGGTATAATCCTTGAGCAGTTGCAATAATGCACTCAAAAGAACGCCAAAGTTGTGCGTCCACACAGCAGTATGGTTGTATTGCGACAATTAAGCTCAAGAAGAGGCAAAACAAAAATCCTCTCGAAAAGGGAACAACCAGTCAGAGTCCATAAACCAAACAAACATGGTATACAAATCATTGCAAAAATAACCTTCATAAGCTTTCACCAAGATCCTTCAAAATACAACAAAGTGTGAAAATAAAACATCAAACTTACGGTTGAGCAGCAAACTAAACGTTTCTCAAACCAGGATTGTTTGTAGCACAGCAAGAAACCATGTGGAGTTCAAACTGAGTCTCTCTCTCACTGTACTGCTTCCTTCCTTTATACAGAAATGGTAGAGCTACTAGTGCCACCTAATGGTCCGGAGGAACATAGCGCTACAAAATAATACAAAATGAACCTTCTGACAGGCGATGACTGTTACAGGACAGAACTGTTCCTTATTTTAGTCTCTTCTGTCCTCAGGTGTATAATCAAGGCGCGGTGGTGACGGATGTGGCCCGCTGCACGTCTCTGGGCTTTGACGTTCTGGGCAAACAGGGGTCCAGCGTTGATGCCGCCATAGCCGCTTCGCTCTGCCTGGGCATCATCCATCCCCACACCTCGGGCATCGGCGGGTACGAGTGCAAGTTCAGTGGTTCACAGCAGTCTTTGTTTACATTTATGTATTTAGCAGAGGCTTTTATCCAAAGCCACTTACAAAAAGAGGAACAAGGCAATTCATCAGTGAGCCAACAATATTTGCATAATGCCAGTTTTATTAGACAACTAGATTAGGAAGCGAGCTAGAGAAGAGAAGAAATACGGGGTGTGTGTGTGTGTGTGCATTGGTTAAAAGTGTCTTCAGCTGTTTCTTGAAACATGATGGTCTCTCAGTAATTCAGGTGGAGGTTCAGCTCGTTTCACCAGAGAGGAACAGAGAGGGTGAAGGTGCTGGCGAGTGATTTTATGGGCTCATTGAGAAGAAACAACAAGGTGTTGCTTGTTCTTATTGTTTTATAAGGTAACCTTTAAAAGGATGTTTCACCCAAAAATGAAAAATTGGTAAATGCAAGCTCAGAAATGCTTTACCAATAAGGTTTGTTCTTGTGCATCAAGCAAGTAGCGTTGATCTTGCACTTACCATATTTGATGTGATCAATGTTTATATGTGAATAAAAGGCTAAATTAAACCTGTTAAACATATTGAAGGGGTCATATGATGCGATTTCAATTTTTCCTTTCTCTTTGGAGTGTTACAAGCTCTTGGTGCGTAAAGAAGATCTGTAAAGTTGCAAAGACTAAAGTCTCAAATCCAAAGAGATATTCTTTATAAAAGTTAAGAGTTAACCACGTTTACCTAAAACGACTCGTTCTAACACGCCCCACATGTCTACGTCACTGTGGGGGAAGATTTGCATAACGCCGCCCAAACGTTCACGCAAAGAAAGAAGGCGTAACTTATATTCTCGCTGTAGTATTGTTGTTGCCATGTCGTGAAGACGCTGTGTGTTTTGTTGTGAAAGAGAAACTACTTTGTTTGGTCTTCCAAAAGAGGACGATATCCGCTTCGTCATACCTGGAGCTGATCTGTGCTGGTCGCTGAGGAAATACATCAACTTAGTGCTGTGGATCACCGGATCGGCTTTCACCGTTTTCACCGCTCCTTCATCGGATCCGCCGGGACCGCCGTTCTCAATCCCGCCGCCTCAGCTCACTCTTGCCCGGCTTCAGCTCAGGCTAAGCCGAGGCTTTCGCTCACGCTAGGCCGCTGTGTTTTTCATTGTGAAAGCGAAACTACTTTGTTTGGTCTTCCAAAAGAGGACGATATCCGCTTCGTAGGGGCGTAACATTTCCGTCACACTCTTGAGGTATTCGGCCAATCACAACGCACTGGATAGCTGGCCAATCACAGCACACCTCGCTTTTTCAGACCGATGAGCTTTGTAAAAATTGACACGTTTCAAAAAGGCGGGGCATAGAGGAGAAACAATAATGTACAGTATGTGGAAAATAATGTGTTTTTTTAACCTTAAACCGCATAAACACATTTCATTACACCAAATACACAAAATAATGTTCTTTTTAGCAGCATCATATGACCCCTTTAAGTGATTATGTCAGAAGACTTGGATTAAAAAGCTTGATTCATATTCATGTCTCGATGAACAAGAACATTTTGAAGTGTCAGAGTTTTGGTTATCTGCTGGACTGAAGATTAAAATATCTTCATTTGTGTTTTGAAGATGAACGAAAGACTTGTCGGTTTGGAATGACAGGAAGTTGTGTAATTGATGACAGAACTCTCATTTTTGGGTGAAATCTCCCTTTAAAGATTACAGACAACGACTGGCAGAAACAGTGCTCCACTGTAATGGAAAAATGAAAATATTAAGGATTTGTGAATTTAAAATCACAATCAATTGTGATTTGAGCTGGAAAAGTAATAGAAATAAGCAAAAGTTATGGACATTTTAGGGAATATATATGATTTTTATGGTATGATTTAAAAAAAAATTTTTTTTAATATATTTTATTTTTTTAAAAATCTAGTTTTTAAAAATATTTTATTTAGAAAAGGTCTATTTATGATGCCCATATTTTGCTTATTATAACTTTTATTTTAGGGTCTGTTAGAATGCATTTACATGATTTAAATAAAAAATTGCTTTATTATGTACATTGCTGCAGCACTTTGACTGCTGTAAAACATTTCAAATTTCTCTTTGTGAGTGTTTGTCTAGAGTAAAACTTGCTCACAGATTAATGCGAAAAGGTGTACAATGTCCATTTTTGGTGTGATTGTTTAAATAAGTTATATCGAAAGTCTGGCCAGAAATCTCTGTTAAAGGATTTTTTAAAACATCCTTTTCCAGTAAATCACTTATAACTGGAACGGTCATGGAAACTCACTGGTGAAAAACTCCAGGAAGGCACATGTGCAGGGCTAGAGAAATAGATTTTGTGTGTGATGAATGAGAAACAGTGAGTGACTGTATCTCACGCTCTTCTCAGTGGTGGCGTGATGCTGGTCCATGACATCCGCAGGAACGAGAGCCGGGTCGTTGACTTCCGCGAGACGGCACCCTCCGGGATTCACCAGGACATGATGCTGCATGTTAATCAAAGGGTAAAGGTTTATTTCCATCTGCTTTCATCTTGTCTGGAAGTGCGTCATATGATAAAGCGAATTAATAATGCAAGCACAGTATCTGCACTGCACAGTGATCTGTGTCTGTCTTTCTGTCTGTTAGTCAGGTCTGTTAGTGGCTGTTCCCGGCTTGATCAGTGGACTACATCAAGCTCATCAGCTCTATGGAAGGTACAGTTTAAGATGAGCTGTGCAGTCACACACAGCAGACATATTCCACTGCTTTGTTTGAAAGTGACTTCTGTGTTTCATACATCACTACACTATTAGACAGGGACCCATGAAATATCACCAATGTAACTGCATCTTATAATGTGGATGATTAACTGCATCTTAATGTATCCATAGAAACAAAATAATGATTGTCAAGTCGAGGCACATTTATTTATATAGTGCTTTATACAATACAGTGATTAACAAGAAAATAGTGATAAAACAGTAATGCACACATGTGTAGTGTTAACTAATAATGGCACAGATGTTTGTGTAAAAGAACACATCTGGAAATGAAACTTCTGCTTGTGGTTTTGTGACTGAGGTCAAATTCAAGATCCTGTAGACCCTTCCATATTTTAATCCGTTATCATTTTATAATTTTGAGTGGGTATGATAGGATTTTTTCCTCAAAAAATGTGAGTTAATGTTATTGAATTGGACTAAAACATACTGACTTTGCTTACAAAGGATATGACAAAATTTTATATTTTTTGTGCTTTTTTATTTAGATTTTTTCCCCCCCACCTTGTTACATTTCTGGTGTTCTCCAGTGCTCAAAAATGACCGGCCTACAACAAATAGCAGTTTTTTTGCAATTTCTTTAAAGAACAGTTTTTCAGAACTGATTGATCATAGGCCTCACTTTAGATGAATAAACTTGAGTGAACTTTTTTCACACTGAGGTGCATGAGCTCAGATCAGTGAGGCCTACAATGAATCAGTTCCAAAAAGAAATACAAAACCAGTGCTAATTGAAAGAAAACAAGTTGATAAAAATCTTGAATGCAGTATTTCATTATAATATAATGAGAGGTTTAAAAGGCCGGTCATTGTTAACAAGGAGCACCAAATTAGATAAAGGATTTTCAACACAGCACAAGGGTTAATGATGGCTGATGGAAAAGTGTTTTCTCTCTCCTCTAGAATGGCCTGGAAAGACGTCATCACTATGGCCGCAGATGTGGCAAGGAATGGATTCAATGTGACGCATGAGCTGGGTGAGCTTTCATCCCGCATGTCATTTACACTGAATGTTATTCTTTGGTGCACTGTAAGACTGTAAATGTAATATTTGTTTGTTGACTTTTAAGCAGTTTGCTATAACTGGCACCATCTTTCGCAGCTGATGCGCTGTCTGAAGTGAAGGAGCAGAATGTGTCGAATGCATTCAGAGATCTGTTCCTGCCGAACGGTCAGGCTCCCCTCGCGGGACTCTTCACTAAACGCCTGGATTTAGCTGCCGTTCTGGACAGGATTGCAGCCAATGGAGTCTCAGAGTTCTACAGTGGGAATCTGACTCAGGAAATTACATCAGAGGTACGTCTCCAGTGTTATTTTAGTATTATTGATATACTATTAGAGCATTTATTAATATTTTTCATTTTAGTTTGAGTAATTTCATGTGCTTTTTTATTTATTCATGTGCTTTTTTACATTTCAAGTTAGCTTTATTTTTCATTTTAGTTTGAGTAATTTCATGTGCTTTTTTATTTATTCATGTGCTTTTTTACATTTCAAGTTAGCTTTATTTTTATTTTAGTTTGGTAATTTTAGTACTTAAACTATACATTTCAATTAAACTATGCATTTCAATTTCTTTTGTTATACATTTCAATTAATAAAAATATTTTTTTTTAACATCACTGGTCTGACCTGTCAGATCATTCAAATCTTTCAAACATTGGATTTTTAAACTGTTTTAGCCATTTTCTTGTGTTCTGTTTAATAACAGATCATTCAACATTTAACAGATCGTATGATAATATTACTATTATGTGTGTTTGTGGCCAGGTTCAAGCTAAAGGAGGTGTGTTGACAGAGGACGACTTCAAAAACTACACCACTGTCATACAGAAGCCACTGCAAAGCCTTTACCAGGGTAAACACACATCAGTTTTCAACAGAACCTATAGCTGTTTAAAATACTGCAGTCTATTACTTTATGAATTGCAGTAGTTTAGATGTAGTAGTCTATTGACCTTCAAAGTCCAGACAGCAGAGCAATAAAAACCTTTCTGCTTTACCCTATATCAGTTTCACGATAGTGCATAATTACTGTTGTTACTCGACTTCTCAAAACAGGGTAGACAAGAATTGAACTCAGCAGAATTTTAAAAAGTACACAATCGTCATGCTTAGGTAACGATGTTTGTTTGGAAACTGACTGAGTAAAAGTTAAAACAGTCCATAATAATGTATTAAAGTAACTGATATTTTATGTACTTCAGTACTAAAAGCACAAGGGAATGCTTAAGTAATGGCCCACAGATCCATCTGTGCAGGTGTTTGCTTTTCTGTGGGTCTATAGAAATGTCATTTTCTTCTAAATACAGTGTATTATAAGTCAACGTAAACACTGACTTCTGTACAGTGAGTATTTCTGCTTTGCTTCTGTACACTTCTGCTATGCAGTTGGAGTGATGACTCATTAATTAAGATAAAGCTCTATTGTTTCCCTTGCACATTATAAGGGGTGTTGGATGAAATGCAGATAGTAAAATGAGCATCATAAAGTGGGTAGTTCAGTTTCTGTCTTCTGATTGGATGATCCATATTTGAAGCCGTTGTAAAAACACACACCTGTTTATTTATTACCACATTATTTATTAATGTTTCAAGCTCCTGTCCTGTCTGGCAACCCTAAACAAACTACCGTTTATTTTATTATTTTGTTTTGCTTTGCCTTGCTTTGTTTTGCTTTGTTTTGTTTTGTTTTGTTTTGTTTTGTTTTGCTTTGCTTTGCTTTGTTTTGTTTTGCTTTGCTTTGCTTTGCTTTGCTTTGCTTTGCTTTGTTTTGCTTTGCTTTGCTTTGCTTTGCTTTGCTTTGCTTTGCTTTGTTTGCTTTGCTTTGCTTTGCTTTGCTTTGCTTTTGCTTTGCTTTGTTTGCTTTGCTTTGCTTTGCTTTGCTTTGCTTTGCTTTGTTTGCTTTGTTTTGCTTTGCTTTGTTTGCTTTGCTTTGCTTTGTTTTGTTTTGCTTTGCTTTGCTTTGCTTTGCTTTGTTTTGCTTTGCTTTGTTTTGCTTTGCTTTGCTTTGCTTTGTTTTGCTTTGTTTTGCTTTGTTTGCTTTGCTTTGTTTTATTTTGTTTTGTTTTGTTTTATTTAAGTGGTTTATTTTAATTAATTAAGTGGTTTAAGAACACCTTTTCTCTGCTGTACAATCACTTTAATGGTCTCTCGTGGCTTATTACTTTAAGGAAACATCATTAGATAAATGTAGACTAGACTGTTGCTGCTTGGGTTAATGTGACAATTAGAACTTTCCTGTTGCCTGTTTTGGAAAATCTTTTCCTCAGGCCTTTAATGGCTTGGTTTTCCATGAAGTTCAGCACCTCCTGTAGTCTTGAGCACCTCAGCAATGTTTTAATTGACAGGTTCAGCAGTGCTTTGCCTTGCGTGTCTCTGACAGGCTACCAGGTGTTTGTTCCTCCTCCGCCCCACGCGGGAGCCGCCCTGCTGTCCGCTCTCAACATCCTGGAGGGATTTAACATCACAAACCAGGTGTCCAGGAGCAACATTTACCACTGGATAGCTGAGGTACTGCAGTGCTGTAAGCAGCATAACTCACTTCACACTTCTACTGATTTATGGCTTTAAATAAAGTGCACTAGTGATGTATTTGTGCCTAATAATCAGATGTTTTCTTCTTGCTCTTTGTATCATGTATTTTGTGTTTTCTACAGAGTCTCCTGCCTTTAGTACATGCCTTTAACTCTGTTCAATAGATTAAGTCAATTTTGACTTTATTGCATGGTTTATATGGCTTTTCACAATATGCTTTACCCTGAGTTAACATCTTTAAATCCTGGTTAAAGCCAGTGGAATGATTGTTCAAGGAAGAAAGCTGCATTTAAAGGGTCAAATGTAACACTAGACTTTGAGTATGCTGAATTTCTACAGGCACCGCAACAGTTATAACCAGTGTTCCCTGCGCACTTCTTACGTAGCAACCGCACAGAAGAAATAATGTTGCGCACAAGACACACGCAAAAATGAGTTGGGAAAGCCGTTTGATTAAGTTCTAGTAAATGTGAAATAATTGCAATGCTCGGGCAAACCGCTATTTATTTATTTACTTATTTAACCAGGAAGGTCCCGTTGAGATACAATATCTCTTCTACCAGGGAGTCCTGGTCAAGATAGGCAGCAAAGGACAAAGTTACAAAGAAATACATATCACCACACAATGAACAAACACAAAACGCAATTTTCTAAAAACAATACAAATCCTAGTCAGTTATTAAAACATGTACACTGTTCTATATAAACAGACTTTAAAATAGCAAGAGATGGTACAAATTCCATATGTAATGTACCTTGAAGCTTGTTCCATACATACGGAGCATAATTAGAAAAAGCAAATCACGTAACCTAAAATGTTCATTACATCAAGGGTCAAATCAAATATAAATAGCATGTTAAAGTTAAAAGTTACACACTTTTTTTGTGCGTGCGCTGTACAGGTCTGGTATAAAGAATGTTTTTGCTCAGGTGGCTGAAATATCCGGCCAATAGAGAAAAGTTTTGCTCGGCAAGAAAATAAATTGAGTGAACATTTGTTGTAACATGACATCACACTGTGTGGTGTCTTTTATTTTACAAACGTAATCCAGCATAAAATCCATTCAGAATGTAAAAATATGCAGTTCACGGCACTTTACTGCAATTCTGCAGATTTAAAGGTTTTTTTCATCCCGCTAAAAGCTCACGCAGTGAAGTATCAATGAATCAATCCCACACAATTCACAGGTCAGAGTTCACCGATCTTGAACTTTAAATTTCACATGAGCTTGCTTTTCCTGTCTCCTGCATTTGCATGCGTATGAATGGAAGTCAGTGGAAAGAAAAGTATAGTGTGACCAGCCCTTTCATTAAGATTAAAGGGAGACTTCACAAGAGTGTTACACTATTATAGTTTTTATTAGTATTTTTTTATTAGTTTTTATATTTTTCATTGAGTCATTTTGTTATTTTCTTTTTTTATTTGGCCATATGGTTTTAATTAATTTCAGTTATAATCATTTTAGTACATCAAGTTAGACTAAATGAAAATGAGAAATGTTGCATTGGTGATTAGCTAAAATAAGTGTTAATAACAGTTTTTCAGTTAACATTTGTTTGATTTCAAGTCTTTTTCAATTTTTTTAACCCTGGTGCACAACAGCGCCTCTGCTCATGCACTACTGTCAAAGTATTCCTGTGTTTAATTTCCTCCACATGTAGTCTCTGAAGATTGCTTTGTCTCAAGCCAGTGGACTGGGAGACTCCATGTTCGATTCATCGGTTTCTGAGTTGGTGACGCAGATGCTCAGGTGATTATTGAATCAAAACTGAAATGGACAACATGTTTGTTTCAACAGCAGTGTTTCAACATAGTGTCTTTCTATACCGTTTCCATAACATTGGCTGGCTCTGGCAGTAAAGGCCAGGCTGCTGCGCTCCGGCAGAAGATCAGTGATTCACAGGCGTCTGCGGCCCTCCGCTTCGCATCGTGCCTAACAACGCCCCTTAGCTGTTATAAATTCACTGTAAACCACGGCTTCTTGGGACGTATTGCTTTACTATTTTACTAAGATACGAGGGATCATACAAAATGCATGTTATTTTTTATTTAGTATTGACCTGAATAAGATATTTCACATAAAAGATAGATAATAGAAAATAATCGTTGAATTTATAAATATGACCCCGTTCAAAAGTTTACATCCCCTTGATTCTTAACACTGTGTTGTTACCTGAATGATCCACAGCTGTGTTTTGTTGTTTAGTGATAGTTGTTCATAATAGTTGTAGTAATATCTTTATTTGTCCCTTCACAGGGCAATTTATGCAGCATCAACCTCACAAACAGGCAAATCTTATAAGACATCATGACAAAAACAGATAAAATAAAAACATCACAGCAAATACAACCACGACAAAACCCGGGCATTAACAGTGCACCATTTCTTCATATATTAAAGTATGATGTTAAAATTCACACCTTTATCTTTGTTTCAAATAATTTCTGTAATTACATTTATAGCTACACTGTTGACCAATCCCTTACAGTTTAACCCACCCTTAAACCTACCCATACCACCAAACCTGTCCCTAACCTCACCCGTATCCCACCACAACAGCAGCAAAATTGTTCTGCAATACAATATGAACACAATAACTACATTGTACTTATTTTTTGATGTAAGTACATAGTAGTTACAGCCATCTAATATAAAGTGAGACAAAAAAAAAGAGCACATATTGCTGGTCACTGAGCATATATAACACTGATACTTGTCACTAAAATATAATTTATTTGTTGAAATCTGGAAGCCGTAAAAGAAATATCTTAAAAAAAAATGCACATAGCAGTCATAGCAGATAACATTTTTATCAAGGTAAAATCTACATGCATTTTATATAGTGTAAAACATAGTGTAAAGCATGTTCAAGATTAGATTCATTAAATGATAAGCTAATTCCTCCCAAAAGCTTTTATTCAGCATAGTGTAGTTCTTCCATTGACATCCATTAAAAAAAATGGCCTCTTGTCTCCTTCCCTGTGTACCGCCAAAGCCGCTGCGTTAGCACTAGCTGTTATGCTTTTTTGGATACTGGTTGCAGGTTTGCCTTCCAGTGGCTTTGCTGGAAACTTCTAGGCAAGTGTATTGAACTAAACTCTGCAGGACACTGGTCCTCCAGCAGCCGGAGTCTGGACTAGACACTCCTGTGTTATAGTGTCTCGCTGTATAGAGTTAGGGGGTTTTACCATTAAAATTGCAGTTTTTGTACAGTAAAGGCCATTGCACAATGAGCGAAATTTTAGGATGACGAATACGAAAAAACGCATACGAAAATTTCGGACTCGGTGTGAAAGGACCTTAAGTGATATGTGTCAGGATTGTAACAGGTTGTGTGTTCTCATCAGCGTAACAGCATTGAGCCGGGCAAGAGGCCGGCCTCGTTCCTGATGCCGATCGCGGTGAGGCCGTCCATCGGTCTGTGTGGCACATACGTCGCGCTGGGCTCCTCTAACGGCGAGCGGGCGCTGAGCGGCATCACGCAGGTCAGCGCTCATTACTGTGCTGTGTGGATGTTCACCAGCACATTTCATTCTGCTACTAGCATCAGTGTATATTAACTCATACTCTGATGTGTTTTTGCAGGTTTTGATCAATGTTTTGTCATCACGTAATAACATGAGTGACAGCGTGTCCTACGGCAGACTGCATCCTCTCATCCAAAACAACACCCTGCTGGTGGACTGTAAGTTCTCCATCATTTACTGTAGCTTCCTCTGGGGTTCATTTAAAAGTTTTCTCTAATATAGTGTATAGTGTATACTGTCATTTTTATTTTAATAATGCCCAAATGTGTATTGACTTTTTTTTTTGTATGTATCTGAAAGAAGGCTCTTCTGCTTACCAAGGCTGCATTTATTTGGTCATAAATACAGTAAAAACAGCAATATTGTGAAATATTCTTACAATTTAAAGTAACTGTTTTCTATGTGAATATATATTAAAATGTCATTTATTTCTGTGACACAGCATTGAATTTTCAGCATCATTACTCCAGTCTTCAGTGTCACATGATCTTCAGAAATCATTATAATATGCTGATTTGCTGCTCAAGAAACATTTCTGATTATTAATATTAATGTTGAAACCTGGTGTGCTGTGATGCAAACTAATGCAAAAAAAAACAAAAAAAATTTGCAATAGATCTTTTGTCTTTACTGACAATCTTTATTGTTTTTACTGTCTGTTTTAATCAATTTAATGCATCCTTTCTGAATAAAAGTATTAATTAAAAAAAAAAAACTTAGTAACTTCAAACCTTTGAACGCTAATGTATATGTTAAAAAACATTTAGAGACAAGGAAATACATAATTTAGACACTTTCTAGGAAAGCCAAATCTTTTTTAAATTAATACACAGTTTGTGATGCCATCAATCTCGACTATTTAACCCTGTCAGCAAAGTAATTCTAATAAAAAAGATCAGGAATATATAATTTAATACAGTATGTAGGAATTAATCAAAAACTACAAATCAACATTTTTTTTATTGCATTTTATTGGTTTCATTTTCATGCTTGAAAACAGCAAAAAAGCACAAATCAGGGTATTAAATTGTATTTACACATGCTGTATGTTTGTAACATCGCTGCAACCCCCATAACAATACAGAATAAAGCCAATGCTAATACAATGTTGAATTCATAAGCTGAGGTCAACATGCAAAATTCAGTGAATGTTAAGTGCAATTTCTTTAAAAAAAAAACTGCATTCCTAGGGTTTAAAGCCCTGTTTTATATTCTTTATGTATAAAGTGTTATATGTGACTCTTTAAATGTCCATTCAGAGCAAAACCCCTGCAGCACTAATTTGTTCACATGACTGCAGATGTGTGATTTTGACTGTAGATGTGTGATTTTGACTGCAGATGTGTGATTTTGTAGACTGTGATTTTTGACTGCAGATGTGTGATTTTGACTTAAGATGTGATTTTGACTTCAGATGTCTGATTATGTAGACTGTGATTTTGACTGAAGATGTGTGATTTT